TCCAAACCATCAAATTCAATTTTGTGATTTGCGTAAATGCCAACCAGCTGTTTTTGATCAGCTGTTTTCCTGTTGGCAAATTGCTGTTGGCAAAAATTTTTCCAGCAGAAACCAGCAGCTTCCCCTCAAAATGAAATGTCACTTTGCTCTCTCAATTTCCCCTACTTTGCAAGTTTTTTGCGTACGCGAACGCAAAAACTTGTAAGTTTTGGTTAAACATGAACAATTAACAGCTACGCGAACGCAACTAATGATAACACTGGTCGACGGCCAAAATTTACCAGAGACGCCGTTATGAAATTCGTATGTAAAATCACCCCCTGATTCCGAAAATCAAGGTTATTTTTAATTTTATGGTACCGTTTTTGAGATATTTGCAATTTACCGTTTTTGCAAAAAAAAAAAAAATTGGGTCCACTTAATCATATATATCTCAAGAACGAATTAAGCAATTTATAAAACGGTTTGAAGCTTTTAAAAGCTAATAAAATTTTCTATAAGCTGTGCATACAACACTTTTTGCTAGGCCCTGTAGATTCAAAGATAACGAACAATCATTACCGATTTTTTCAATTTTTTTTTGTAAAAATATAAAAAAAATTGTACTTTGCGGGGAAGGATCTCGAAAACCTTTTATTTTTTTGCAGATTTTTTTTTCTCCTTAAGCTCTGTTATATTACAAAAAAAATAAGGTATCATCGAAGAAAATCGATGCAAAACTACGTAAGTTATAAGCGATCAAATAAAAATACCCAGGTTGCGCAATTTCAACGTATACCTCAAAACGTATGTATGGTATAAAGAAGAGTGAAATATCTAGCTATGCTCTGTTTCTGTTGAGTTAAAAGTTCAATTTATGAATGAAATTACCCATATTTTTAACTTTTTTTTTTAATTTATTTATGTTTATACTATATTCTAACAATCTTTATCTTAATTTGATTTTACTATGTTGTCTAAATAATTATGTGTTCTACTTTGACGCTTATTCAGTTTAGGATCGGTTTCTCTTATGAGAAACCAGCAGTAATCACCCATCATTGCGACGTCCCAGAATCCTTGATATCGATTCTCAATTAATTTCATTTGCTGATGAAACCTTTCGCCATGTTCATCACTTTCGTCGCCAAGATTTGCCGGAAAAAAGCTCAAATGTGAGTGGAGAAAGTGAATTTTTAAAGACATATTTACGCCCATTTTCGCATAATTATTGATTAGGTCGTTCACTATCTGCTCGTAGTTAGGGCTTTTGTGTCTACCGAGAAAAGAAGCAACGACCTTTTCAAAGGATTCCCACGCTGCTGCCTCAACTGATGAGAGTAGTCCTTTGAATTGATTATTGTTGATCAACTTTCTTATTTGTGGTCCAACAAAAATACCTTCCTTTATCTTGGCTTGAGAAATATCTGGAAAAACTGTTTTCAAATAGTCGAATGCTTCGCCTTCTTTGTCCAAAGCCTTAACAAAGTTTTTAATGAGACCGAGCTTGATGTGTAAGGGTGGAAGTATGATTTTCTCTTTCTTGACAAGAGGGGTGTATTTGATGTTATCCACACCAACGGTAAACTCGACTCTTTCCGGCCAATCCTTTCTGACGTAGTGGTCCTTACGAGCTCGGCTATCCCACTTGCAGAGGAAGCAGCAGTGCTTGGTGTAGCCACTTTGTAGACCGCATAGCATTGCAACGACTTTGAGATCAGAACATATTTTCCAATCATGCTCTTCATATTTGATAAATTTGAGTATTTTTTGCATTTCCTCGTAGGTTTCCTTTGTATTTACTGCATGTGCAATCGGGATAGAAGGCTTTTTGTTACCAATATGCAATAATACAGCCTTCAAACTCAGTTTATTGCCGTCTATGAACAATCGCCACTCTTTTGAATCATATGTTTGACCAAACTCTTTGAATAAACCAGGGATGTCGTTGCAGTAGCATATACTGTCTTTCTTGGTATAGTGTTTGGAAAATGGTTCGTGACGAGTTCTACTATATGTCACCTTAACATCGGATGACACAAATTTAAATTGTTGCATACGAGAAGTGTGGATCTCGGCCTTTTCCTTGGATAGTTCCAAATCTCTTATCCAATCATTAAGTTGTGCTTGTGACAGAACGTTTCTTTCGTTTTCCATGCGAAATTCAGTACAACTTGGTCCCCCGCACTCAGATGTTACTGTTGACAATGGAACTGGATCCGCAACTGCCGTTGAATGTAGTACTGGTAATGTCACTGTAGGTACGCTAGCATAGGTTACTCCTCTTGATCTTCCAACGCCAAGTACTTTTGTTTGACAAATATAACACTCTATTGAATGGCAAGTAGGTTCTCTCCATATCATTGGTGTATCAAATTTTGTTTGTTGTCCTGATTCCCACTGAATCAATTCTACTCGACACGATGTACACAAAGTGTTCGGTGTCCATGGTTTTTCAGCATTTTTAGGCTCAATTCCAAAATACTTGGAGTATAAAGTTTTGATATGATCTGAGAACACTCGTCGTCGCCTTATGATAGTATATTGGCCACACATGAAACAGAACATATCTGGATCCTTATTACACTCAAATTCTCGCGTCCTTTTACTCATTTTATTTTTTTTAATAAATCACGGTTTTGAAATTAGACTTATGAACTGAACTATCTCCGGCGAGCCTTGAAGATGTTATGAAGTTTCAAAGCGCATTAACTCATATTTATACTCGGAACAAGAATAAAATTGAAAAAATCAAATCTTACCTAGACAGAAAGGTTCCTTTTTATAACAAGCCGGGAAAAGAAAATACTACCTGTTTTAGATGTAGGCTTTAGAAATTTTCTGTGTCTTATAATTTTGAAAATCTACCTGCATACTTACCCATAACTGACGGAAATACATGTTTATAACTACATGCCTACAGCAGGTTTCGAACCCAACCACTCTTCCTTTCGATGCAACCACTCTACCTACTATAATACAATTCGAGTATTAAAAGTACTATTTGATTTATTTAAAGAAAAGTGTTATCATTGTTATGGTGTTATTCGTTTATCCGGATAATATCTCACTTGCACTTTATACCTTTAATATATGTATGTATGTATAGGTACATACATTGAAGTTGCGCAACCTGGGTATTTTTATTTGATCGCTTATAACTTACGTAGTTTTGCATCGATTTTCTTCGATGATAGCTTATTTTTTTTGTAATACAACAGAGCTTAGGGAGAAAAAGAAATCTGCAAAAAAATAAAAGGTTTTCGAGATCCTTCCCCGCAAAGTACAATTTTTTTTGTATTTTTACAAAAAAAATTGAAAAAATTCGTTATCTTTGAATCTACAGGGCCTAGCAAAAAGTGTTGTATGCACAGTTTATAGAAAATTTTATTACCTTTTAAAAGCTTCAAACCGTTTTGGAATTGCTTAATTCGTTCTTGAGATATATATGATAAAGTGGACCGAATTTTTTTTTTTTTTTGCAAAAACGGTAAATTGCAAATATCTCAAAAACAGTACCATAGAATTAAAAATAACATTGATTTTCGGAATCAGGGGGTCATTTTACATAAGAATTTCATAACGGCGTTTCTGGTAAAGAGAAAAAGTTGAAATTTGTGGTCCAGTGTAATCGCTCGGCAACCAATGATGAATCAACAGATATTGGTGACAAAAACTCAAATAACAATGCTGCGAGGACTGAAGTCAAAAACAGAAGGCGAAAGAAGGCTTTGGTTGTTGTGGGCTCAAATGATAGCACTGAGCTGGGTGTCGCTGTCCGCAATAAATGGTTACACCTATCATCGTTTGAGCTGAAAGTTAGCGCTGAAGACATAAAGAAATATGTAGCTAAACATGCTGGTATTGATGCTGATTCTCTCTCTTGCTACATGTTGGTTAAAAAGGATGACCCAGTAGACAAACACAAGCGAGTCAATTTCAAACTGGGCGTCTCATCGGTAAATTTTCAGAAGCTATTAAGTTCGTCACTATGGCCAGCTAATGTAAGAGTTAGACCATTTCGTTTTTTTCAAAAGCAATATTAACTTTTTTATATCAAAGTGCATTTCTCCAATTTTCAAAATTTTTCAAGGTTAAATACATCTCTTTTAGATTATAAATGGGATGAGTTATTTTTCGGCCTGGACACTCACGGCTGCTTTTCCACTTTTAAGTCAATAATACACGATATTTGCTTACACAATATACCTTTAAAAAAGAAGCGCTGTTATAAATCACCCTGGTGCAACAAAGACCTGAAGAAACTAAAAAATCTCAAAAATAGTTATCTAAAAAAATTTAAATCATCAAAAAATCATTATTTCTTTGTAAAATACCAGCGTTATCATAAGGAATTTAAATCATTAAATAATCTCCTCTACAAAAACTATATTCGTAGCACCGAAGGGAACATTAAAGCTAATCCGAAATCATTTTGGAACTTTGTCAAATCCAAAAAATCATGCGCAAGTAATGCTCGACGATAAATTTGCTAGTACTCCTGTTGAAGCAGCTAATTTGTTTGCTGACTTTTTTATGTCAAATTACATTGCTGATGACGGGCAATTCCCTAACTTCTCTTCTGAAATATCTTCTATTCTCAACTTTGGGGCTCTTTTTATTTCATCGGATGACATTATAAAGGGGATGCTTTTTATTAAACCTTCTTCGCAAACAGACGTAGACGGGATGTCGGCTATCTTATTTAAAACCTGTCCGGCCTTAGCGATTCCTCTTGCGATAATCTTTAATAAAGCGCTATCGTCAGGTAAACATTTTTAAACGATAATCAAATATAAAGTATTCATTTTTACTATGCATTATTTCCCCCCCCCATGTAACAAGGGACATTATCCCAAAATTCAAAATTGGGATTATACCTCTTGGGATCAAGTCAGGGTACCGATTGGTACAGTTATGTTAAAATGACATAATCATTGTATAACTGTGTGAAAGCTTTTTAATTCGTCCATTTTGCCTAAGTACACTATAACTATAAAATTTATTGTCATCGTTCACAGGAAGATATGGTTTGCCTCTCATGTACAGCAACGGGAGAACGCGTTTGTCTAGCAGCTGAAGGATTTGGTAACCGGCACTGCTTTTTGGAGAATATCGCCGACAAAAATGTGCCACCTGATCTATCACAATGCGTTTTCGTAATCGAGCAGGCATTGTCAGTGCGTGCGTTACAAGAACTTGTTACTGCAGCAGGGTCCGAAACTGTAAGTTTGAGAATCTTGCCATTATCTTTCTCGAAAAAATCGCTGTATTATACAATTGCTATATGATGATTTAACACTGCGCAACTAACGCATGTTTTGTTCAAGAAGACCAAATATAATGGTAGGCCGTTTTCACCATGTCTGATTAACAATAATCCCCCGTTAAATATTTATTCGAAGTTACCCACTCAATGTTATTTCGATAACGATGTTTAACGGGGAGTTAGTGTTAACCAGACATGTTGAAAATGGCTGTAAGGGACTTGCATGATTGGGTAGATCTTTGAAAAACAATCAATTTCAAATACCATGATTGTTGCTTTAACTGCCTAACCAAATTCATATACCACGTCATATATTTCGGGAGTTTCCTTCATTTAAATATGCTTTAAAAAATCATATGCATAATAATTTAGTACACCTTTCGCACTTTAAGCTTTAAGAAATACTTCCACATGCTACTATTGGCCTGCGGTTAAAATAAAAGTTATGATTTTTTATTCTATCGGTCCAGATGGAAAACTTTTCCACCCTGCTTAATACTAGTGGTCTGAAACTATCGATAGTAGCGGTAGTTCTTTACAAACCATCGATAACTATCAATAGTTTTCGATAATTTTTTAAAATTAAAATTTAGCTTTATATTGCGCTTAGAATATTTGTAAAAAATATTTCTTACAAAATCAGTAAATCGCAAGCTTAGAGTGGAAGTTTAGAGCGGAAGTTTGCTAAGTTTATTTTTAGAAATTTTACTGGATGGGAAAACCTCTTATAGCCATTTTCTTCAAGAATTTTTAAAAACTTTTATTAAAATATTTTGCACGATTAAAGCAAAGAAAAAAATCATGCGAATCATAAGGAGTCGTTGCTTTTAAAATAATTTGATTTATTTAGAGCTTCATTAAATATCAGATATTTAACTTTTCAGTTCTCTTCTCGAAACTTTCTATATTTTTTACTTATAAAAACACCCGCTGAAACAAGAAAATGCTGGTAAATGTACGCTTCCGAAATATCTTTTATTAAAAGGTGCTGCCAGGCTGTGTCAAATGTGTCAAATGCAAAGTGACAATAAGCGATAAAACAATAATGTAAGGAAAACAAAAACTATCAAAAACTATCGGTAGTATTGAAAACTATCGATGGTGGTACGATAGTCAAAAACCATTGATAGTATTGTAATGGCATCGCTAACAATACGGCAGCACTATTCAGCGCCGTCGTAATGTTGATAGCCCTGTTGGAACATACGTTCCACAGGTACATAAAACCGAGTGAAAAAGCGAACGTTAATTCAATTCTATATACGCCTTCTAGACAATCGGTCACGAAAAATTTGTGCTGGTCAATTTCTTACATAAAAAAACTAATAAAATTCGTTGTTAATCTCTTCAAGAGAAACGAAACGTGTTTAATTTAAGCGCAAGTAGTTACCGCGCGGGAATATAACAATAACTTGCATTTGTGAATAGTTTTTGCGTTCTAAAGACAGCCGCAAAGAGGCTGTATTACTGGCGACCATTAAGAGCAGAGGAAGTCGGAAGACGCGAGGTTCCAGGTAAGCGAGTGGTAGTTTTTATACGTGCGGGTGAATTGTGCTCAATGAGCGGGCTGAGGGCCCAACAGTATCGATGGTGCCATCGATAGTTTTAGACCACTACTTAATAACACAGTTCAACAAATTTTTACCACCGGAGAGAAACACACCGTGTCTTGTAGTTTTTTGGGTGCTTAATCCAAATCTGGTCTCAGAGTTTTGAGATATCCTAAGCTCTAATTGCTATTCGATTTTACTTTCTCGAGAAATACCAGTTTTAGTTTGCAGAACTCCGGTATTAAATGGAAAAGTAGTACTAAATGATGCCCTAAGTAAAAATAAACAAACAGTGTTTTTGGGACTTTCAGGTTGGGATATCTCAAAATCCTGACGTACAAGAGCAACTCTGCGGCCACATTTGGATTAAGCAGCAACAAATCTACAATAAACGATGTGGTTTACTCAGATGGTAACAAAAAAGTCAAAATTTGTAGAAGTGTTTAATAACAACACTGACACTTAGGGCCGGTTGTTCAATGAGTGGTTAGCACAAATCGGAGGTAGAAGCTCAGGTTAAATACAACGACTGCTTTATCAATCAAATGTTATGTCCATGCAAACATTGAACAACCGGCCTTTAGGCCAATTTCTCAATGTCTGGTTAACAGGAACTGCGGGTTAAACATCGTTTCGTTATCTAACTCTATGTCTTGTATGCAAAACTCTTTTACAATATCAGTAAATTGTGAAAAAAATTAATTTTAAGTTATAGGCAAAAGCCATTCGAATATTCATATTTGTTGTTATTAAACTGAAAGTTATTTTCGAGATAACTAACACCCGACAAAAAAAAGGTAGCCTTCTTTTTAATAATTTAAGCTCCATTATATTATTGCAACTGGAATGTAACGATCATGCGATATGCCCATAATACGATTGATCTTTTTGTTGTATTAATTTCTTGGGCATATCAAACATTATCTAAAACATGTCAACTATAATTAAATTATTTTCTTCTTACGTTTTACAGTACAGTTTAAAGAAGTTCCAACGTGATGTAAAAACCTTAAGAAAATCCTAAAGTATTTTGTTTGAATTGAAAATTTAGTACAAATCATTACAAATTTTGAAAAATCAGGACTTTAGCGTACTGATTGAAGAAATTAATAAAATCAGTACAAGAGTTGAAAAATCAGTACTGTACTGACAAAATCAGTACGTCTGGCAACCGTATATACTTCTATAAAAAAGTAAAAAAAAATTTAAAAAAGCATAAAACAAGCTCACACTCAACTGTATGTGTACGCAAAGCATTCGCATGTGAACGACAAGTTTTCTTTGGTATTAGCAAACTTCAAAAATGTTCAGGCTGCTCATGAACCAAAAATACAAGATCACGCGAGAACGTGACGTTGTATTTGTAATTGGTTTGGAGAAAAAATTCGTGGAAGCGGGCTCGTCAGCTAAGCTTTTGTTTACAACACAAGCACCACAATTTTACACTTTTCTTTAACTAAAGAAGAGTTTAATCAACATAACAACACGTTTTAAAGGATTTTTATGAATAATTTTTATCTAAATTTGGTGTTTAAAGTGGCGGACAACAATTTTGGTTAATTTAAGTTTTCGTTGTTTTCTTTGCTTTGTTTACTTTTCGTTTTCGTTTTACAGCGAAACAAGATGGCGTAGAACCCGCTCAAAAAATCGACTTTTTAAATTTTCTTTTTCTTGCGTGATCTGGTGTCGTTCGTTCATGCGGGCTACCTCTCAGCCTCTATCATGATTACCGAGTACCAAGCTAGTGGTTAGAAAAAATCGATAGTGGCAGCAAAATGAAACCATCGTTAATATCGATAGCACATCGATATTTCTCCTTTACTACTATATGCATGTTATATAGGTACATTTTTATGTACACAACTTTAAAAAATATTGTACTAAATAATCTATGCTTTGTATATAAATAAGTTTAATTTTTTCCCCCGTTCTCTGGTTGCACCACGCTCGCTGCGAGACCGCGCGGCACGCGGCATGAAAGCAACCCTGTAGGGAAACGAACTAGACCCGAACGGGTTCGGTTCTAGTGCGTTTGGAACCATGACTAGTACGCGTTAATTCTCTTTAGCATGTTAGCGACTGGCGAAGTGTCAATTGTCCCCCATTGCATCCCTTTGGCTCTAGTTCAGAACCAGTTCTAAATACGACAGATAAGATCTAGTTCGTTTTGCATCCCTTTTTCTATAGTTCCGAACCAGTTCCAAATTCGACAGATGAGATCTAGTTCGTTCTGCATCCCCTCTGCAGGCTTGTCGAAACATTTCCCTTCTATATTAAATACGATCGGTTGAAGGAACGACAATACAATCATAAATGTTTAAACGCATTTATTAAAAATTTATAAACCATATTAGTAGTAGTATTAAACTTAAGTAGTAAGTAAAAAACAAAAGTGCGTTCTGCTTAAAAGTAAAAATATTAGTTCACTTTTGTCTTACTTGTCTAAATTTAAGCATATTGATTTTTAAGTAAATTCAGTTCTTTTTAAGCTTATAGTACTTCGAAAGTTTTTGTCGTACTTAACTTAAATAAGATATACAGTCAGTCAATAAAGTTTAGGTACAGTGAAGTTTTTACAATACCGGCAACTATTTTTTAAATATTTTATTTTTCCATATTTTTTTATAAAAATATGGTTAATTCTACACCAAAAACCCCAAAAATCAGAGTTCCAAACCTTATGCAAAATTAAAGAAAACTCTGCGAATTTCCATCCAAGTATTGCAATTTGCACTCTTTGGAAAAAAGTTAAGTACTCAGTTATTAGCCCATTCAATTTTAGTTTTACAAAGTGCAAGTTTGAGGTAGCTAGGACTTACCATTGATATTTAGCAATTTTTTTTTGTTGTTTGGTAAGTTCTAGCTTCCTCACACTTGCACCTCATTATACTAAAATTGAATGGGTTAAAAAACTTTTTCTAGAGAGCGTAAATAGAAAGTGAATTATTTTAATGAAATTTTGCAGAATTGTCTTAAGTTTTGCACAAGGTTTGGAACTCTGATTTTTGGGATTTTGTTGTAGAATAGTTGTAAAAAATAGTTGCCCGTATTGTAAAAAATTCGTTGTACCTAAACTTTATTGACTGACTGTATTAAGGTAAAAAAATTAATTTGTCTTTTCTTAAAAAAAAGGTAGCTCTGGTGGCTTGCATTTTTAAATAAATTTAGTGAGAAAGTGATAATTATTTTGACAATTTTGTTTAAATGGCTCTTTTTCAGCAACTGCATTGCCTTTCTCAATCGTCCTTCAGGATCTTGGCCTTTGTTTATGGAATCACTAAGTACAATGATTATTAAGCAACTCAAAAACTATACCAGCGTGATTACCGACGTATCCTTTTGCACCCTTAGCCGCACCCTTAGAAGAGGAATAAGACCCAAACTTTTCAGGTCAAAATTTCAGTAG